CCCCTGAACAGGCAGGTTCCAAGCTTTCTCAACTACCTCATAGAACCCTTCTTTTTTCACCCATCTAGCATCAAAGATGAACTTTTTGGGTTTAAAATTCATGGTATAATCACTCTCCAACAGCAACATACTGTGGTCAGAGGATATAATAGAAAGATTTTTAACAAGGGCATTGAGGAACATTGATAGCCAGGGTTGAGAGAAGAAAAACCTATCTAACTTGGCTTCTATATACTCAGCCCCTTGTCTAAGGTTTGACCAAGTGAATGGAGGGCCTTGGACTCTAACTTCACTCATCCCCATGACTTCTACCCAGGTTCTAAAAGGTTGGAAACTAGACTGCTCTCTAATACAGCCCCCAGACTTCTCTTGGTTAGACATAATGGCATTAAAATCTCCCCCTACAAACCAATAATCCCCCCAATTATCCTTAAGACTAGACAAAACTTCCCACTGCATATTTCTAATATCAACATTGGTACTAGCATGTGACACTTAAACTTAACTCCTATACAAAACTCAAAACAGAAATAGTCTAATATAACAACATTAGGAGACCAACAAAATAACAAGCCTCCTCTAGTGCCAGTAGGATGACAATACAACCATCTATCCTCCAATTTTAACTTTTTACAAACCACTGCCACAAATTTTTCTTTTTTTTTTTTTACTTCAGAAAGGAAAATAATGTCTGGGAGATGAACCCTAAAGGTTTCTCGCAATTGGGAAATTGTAGAGGGTCCTCCCAAACCTCTACAATTCCACACACATACTTTCGTTTAGACCCTTGGGACCATTTAGGACTGGTCTCCTCCACCACAGGAAAATCAGTTGAGTTATCAATTTTGGATTTTTTAGAAAGCACTTCCTTGGAACCTGACACAGAAGGGTTTTGAAAAAATTCTGCCAAATTTCTTTTATTACCAATTTTCAGAAAAGAATCATCCACAGCATCTCTTATTGGAGTCTCAACAATCATATCTTCAGGGACAGATGAGACAGTTGGTTTAGTTTTTTTATAAACAAATTTTCTCATTTTTATTTGCACCTTACCAATTTGGAGTTCTGGTTGGATTGCCACCTCTATTAATTCACTTCCTACTTCCTTAGTAGGATTTTCAGACAAGGTAGTTGGTTCAGGTAATTTCCCCTCTTTGTCAAATTCTATCTTCTTTATTTCCCAACTCCCACTAGCCACTACAGCTACTACACCACTACACTGCCCAGCTGGGGAGGATTCACCTCTACCTGAGGTTTCTTCCATCCCCGCCCCTTGTGACCCAGTATCCCTACCTAACTTATGCATATTATTACTGTTATCAGAACTTTTGCTCCCGGACTCCCAAGACTTACCGACTCTAGCTTCACTACCCAAGATAGAAGAGGCTTTCAACCATTCCCCATATTGCCCAAGATTAAGAATGTTTCTGGAAAAGACCTCTTTTTTTAATTTGCAATTTTTGTCAATGTGACCAATTTTACCACAGTAGAAGCAAAAAAGTTGGAGGTTTTCATCCCTGAAATCCACCCAACGAGTTTCATCACCCAGCTTTAGGTTAGTTCCTCGAGGTAGGGCATCTTTTAGGTTAAATTCCACTTGTGTTTTGAGCAGATTCCCATTTGGACTGCCCGCGCCAGGTACGGAAATATCTATCACCTTCCCAATGAGCTGGCCAATTTTCAGGCCTATCTTCATTGTGAGCCAGTGAAGAGGGAGGTTGTGCACTTGAACCCAAATCTTAATCTTCTCCTCTTCCTCAGTGAAATCCGTTGAGTTAGGGTCCCAAACTCCCAATTTTTAATTAGAAGGTACTGTCCATCAAAGGACCAGGTCTTGCCTTCCGGTATCTTGAGTTTGTCCTCCATTTTTTGGAAAATGAATTGGTAGAGATTGTACCCTATACTTCTGATGGAGAAATCTTTGTGGGTAACCCAGATACTACTTAACGTAGCCTTTAATCCACTGAAGTTGCTCTTCTTTTCCCCATACAGTTTGCCTATCAGGCTTAACTTGCAGTCCTTAACTCCCCTAGCAATATCAACTTCCTCTAAATCCAACCCCTTTTCCTCTTTCTCAGAGAGTCGAAATTTCTCCAGTTTAATCGATAGATCTTCCGCCATGATGTACAAGGACCAGGATCCTTTTACACACCAGGTATAAATAGTAACCACCACCCTAAATTGAAGGATGATAGAAGGAACAAAAGGGAGAAATCTATTCTAAGAACAGCTAAATCGTAGATAAGAAGAAGAGAAATAACCACAAGGAAAACCCTAACACTAAAAGAAACCAACAGATATGCCTAAGGGTCAGACAGATCTAATGAAGGAAGTGACGGTGTTGTTAATACTTTAGTGCAGAGGAAGAAAAAACAACAGAGCTGATGCGATCCAAAGCCAGAATCCCATAGAAGGGAAAAATTCTTTTGGTTGACGAGTATGACTCGACTTGACTCGTTAAAGTTAAAGAATAATTAAAACAAATTATAATTTTATCTTACAATATTTCTGTTAGTATTTTTCATATTGTCATTATTTTGTAAAATTCATACAATTTAACTCTATTTTCTTGAACTTGTATATTATATCTTGATAAGATAAGTCCACAAAGAAAGCCCATGTGAAGAGCGATAGAAATAGATCTTTATATTTATTGGAAGAAAGTCTTATTAATTGTGTAATTTCTTCTTACTTGGAGAATAAGTTGTATAACCCTTTTCAAATAGGACTAGGTTTTTATGGATGATTGTGTGGTGATTCTAAGAGAAAAAAATGTTCATCATATTGTGTTTTATTTGAGAGTGAACATATTCTTCTTATTTTTTTCATATTTGAATATTTTTGTTATCGTCTCCATGTTCGAAGACCTGTTGCGGGTTCAATGTCTAGTTTGAAGAGTCTTTTGGAGATAAATCTTTAAGGAACTTCGAGGGAGCTCGACCAGCCATCTTAGAGAATCCATGTTAGAGTTGGAAAGTCGACGAGAGTTGTCGAACAATTATTGATAAGAGAGTATAGATTAGGCGACGTTTGAAGGTATTTTCAACTTGTAATACTACAAAATAAAGTCTTATAATAATAAAAATTTTAGAGGTTGAAAGATTCAGTCCTCATTATACATGGTGTGCCTATTTATGATTTTGGCGCATAGTTTTAAAATTTGGACTGGTGATTGACCCGGACTGGATTACGAGTCACCGGTCCAATTGTTGGTTACTAAGTCAATTATTGAATCGGGTAATTGATTTTATAAAATTTTAAATTATATTTATATTCTTTTTGTCTTGTAACTATATATAAAATAAATTTTTTGAATTTATACCATAAAATCTTGATAATATTGTGTTTTGTTATAATATGTACCATATATATAATATTGTGTTTTGTTATAATATGTACCATATATATAATATGTCATTTAAAAAATAAAGAGGTAAAAAAACAATAATAAAAATATTTAATAGTCAGGTTAGCCCGAGTTGACCAGACCGAGTAAAAAAACAATAAAAAAAAAAAACAATAATAAAAATATGCAGCTATTTTTTATACAGCTAACCATTTGGAAGCTATTTTTTCTTTTAAGAAATGCATATAATATTTTATTCAAATGTCATAATTATAAAAATAATGAGTTTAATAAATATAGTATTTATAATAATAAAAATATATTTTTAATATTTGTTAAAAAAATTTAACTGCCTAATATTTTTAATTCACTATCCATCAATTCATATAATTTTAACATATTTTAATAAATTTAGTTAATTTTTCATCCATTCATATATTGTTAAGTACATATTATTTATCGCATCTCTTTTATTTTTACATTACATCAATTTTAATTGTTATATTTTAAAAATTATTTAAATATAAACTCAAAACTTCGCTTAAAAATTTTATTCAAAATTAACCAATGAATCCAATCAAACAATTTAATATATATTCAATTCCTCCTATATATTAGGGGTGTTCACGGTCCGGATTGGTCCGGTTTTAGCCCAAACCATGACCAAACCGGACCTAACGATTAATTTTTTTTCTTGTCCATAACCGGACCGGTTTTATATTTTAACCGACTACAATTTGGACCGCATTGGACGGTCCGGTTTGACGGTTAACCGGTTAAATCCAAAATCTTTGTTTTGGGCCTTCAATTTTTATTTTATTCATTTTGGGATTAATTTTTATTTTTCAATTTTGGGCCCAAAAGAGATTATTTGGGCCTAAAAAATAAGAAAAACAACAATAATGAAATAAAAAAAATACATAATTCGTCCCATAAGTATAAAAATACACATTTCGTCCCATAAACATAAAAATGCAAAAATGATGAAGATTAAATTATGCAAACTAAACCCAAGCAAGCATTCATTTTTTCACTCAGTTTATACACCTGAGATAATAAGAGTAAAGCATTCATAGTGAATGTATTGTATTTGTCGGCTATAGTGAATAACTGAATGTATATATATATATATATATTTGTTATAGTTTTTTAATATTTACCGGTCCGGTTAAACCGGCGGTTTGCCGCAGGCGATTCGTTAACCGGACCGGTTATTCCGGATTTTTTAAGGTTTTTTAACTGACCATTTAACCAATCCGCGGTCCGGATTGACAGTTTTTTTCGGTTAAAATCGAACCGTGAACACCCCTACTATATATCACTATTCTAAAAATCGGCCTAGGCGCTAGGCGGTGCACGGACGCCTCCGATTTGCACAAATCGGCAGAAAAAATCGGCCAGGCGGCTAGGCGGCACCTAGGCGCTCCTAGGCGGACTTGGCGGGCTCGGCGGCCAGGCAGTTAGGCGGCGCCTAGGCGAGCATAGGCCGACCTAGACGCTCCTACGCGGGCTCGGCGGCAATTTTTCAGTTTTTTTTTTTAAATACTAATTACATTATTTTGTTCTCATGTTTTCTTTAAACATATTAATATTATTATTTGGACTTAGGTGTGTGGATTTATTGTAAATTAAGATAGCTTTATTTTATAGTTCNAACCTTAAAACTTTTAATTTTAGCTAATCTATCACTTACAGTGGTAGCTTAGATTTCAAGAACCCATCATCATCAATACCTCAAAATCACCACTGATTCGTCAGAAATTAGTTCGTGCTCGTCGTTTGTTCGTTGTAGGGTCGCTCTCAAAAGCTCGATCTCGCACCAGAACCTACCCAAAAGGAAAAAATCCGAAGCATTCTGCTCTTGAAACGACGACGTAAAAGGGGAAATGGGTAGCCGGGGCTCCATGAATCACCGGCTGCCATCGTCGTCTTCGAGCTTCGGCAGCCGGGTTTCGTTCTTGATGCTTTCAATGTTTGCTACCATGGCTTCCGTTTATGTAGCGGGAAGGTATGTATAAGCTTCTCTACTGCTTAAACGCACGACCTTAGCTCGGCCCCATTTCGATTTTTCTTTTTATTCCATAAATCTTTTCGTCCTTAAAGGCTGTGATGAATGTGTTGGTGTAGATTGTGGCAGGACGCGGAGAACCGAGTTTATTTGGTTAACGAGCTTGATAAGAGAACTGGCCAGGTAAAAAGCTATATCCTATTTGGCTGATTTTAGAACTTTTAGCATCTGCTGAATATAAAAGCTAAGGTAAATGAAGAGGATAAAGAAAATGAAGGTCTCACTTGAAATGGGTTTTTCCCCCCTTATAGATAAAAAGAGGTTGCGATAGATTTGATGGGCATAGATATGTTCTAAGTACTGAAAGATCCCTTGGGTTGATTGGAAGTGAAGGATAACAGTGATTAGCAATATTAAGTGATGCAGCATTAGTTCCTGGCCCTTTTATATCAATCATAACTACAATTGACACCATCCTTTTGGTTGTTGTATCTCAGGGAAAGTCTTCTGTATCTGTTAAAGGCACATTAAAAATCATTGCTTGCAGGTATTTTGTGGTACCGTTTGTTACTTTAGTATTTGGTTGAATCAGTAGTGCCTGATTAGATTATCTTTTCATTTGGCAGGGAAAACCAGAAGAAGTTAGATGCTCTTCATGTGGATCTTGAAAAGGCTAAGCAGGAAGGATTTGTGACTAAGCATCGAACCGATGGAACTTCAAAGAAAAAACTTTTGGCTGTGATAGGGATAATAACAATGTTTGGACGCAAGAACAACCGAGATGCAATTCGAAAGGCCTGGATGCCTACTGGTATTCGTTCGTGCATGAATAACTTGTCACTTTTTCATTTCTCGT